GCTGGATTGAGGCTCCTCGACGCCAACTGATGGCATAAGAGGAAGACGAAGAATTTAAAAAAAAATATTTTAGAGGGAGGGGAATTCAGATAGAGATATAAAGCGTCCCCTTATCCATGACCCACTATATTTCCTATCGCGTAAAAATTACAATCAGACAATCACCAATGGCTTTAATTTAATTGTTTACTAATTTATACAATATTATTCGGAATTTCGATCGTTTACAACTTAAATATTATTCATGAATAACGTCTATTTTTTTTAAAAAGTACCAAATCTTCAGCATAACCAAGCTGGGATATTGTTGCACCCAGATTAGAACCTTTATTGCTACATATAAGCTCCATAATGGCATGTTCTAATGCTAAATTAAATAGTGCAGTTAAAAGGAAATCACTTTTTTTCAACCTCTCAGATTAATAATTACCGATTCTAATTTTTTTGAATGTTTTGGTCATACACTCCTTACAATGTTTACTAACTTTGTTGATATACCCAGCTCATTCAGAATATTATACAGCTTCTGATGGTCAATGAAATCATAAGTCTTTTTAAATTGATAATGAACAACACCACTGTATTCAAATCTTTCTTTAATATTTATTGTAAGGAATATATTTTTATCACCTTGTTAATGTTGGTATTAAAAAACAAAAAAAATAAATCAGATCAGAATTTTAAGTATTGAACAGAAAAAAGTAGCAAACAGAATAAACAGTTTTATATTTCTACAATAATAACAGGTATAAAAAATGTTATTACAATTTTAAAATTATTTAAGTTGCATAATCCTATCCTTTTAAGTAAATACATATTTTAAATAAAAATGTCAAAATCTATCAAAGTAATGAATACTTTCAATTTCCATGAATGTGTTATATACATATTTACAAATAACATTTTCAATGTTTACAGTATTAAACAAAATGTTACCTATTCTCAAATTAAAAACAAATTAATTCATCTAAGAATTTAATTATATATTCATGAATAATATACAAAATATTGTTTATAAAAAACAGGGGCGATCCAGAATTTTTTTCTCGGAAGCAAACAATAAAATACTCTTTATAAGACTCAATATTTATTTTAACTTCGCTGTGTTATGCAGCTAAAGCAAAAGAAGGGAAGAATTCTAGGGTTATGCATGGAATCCAAGCAAGGAGGTCCTACAATGATCCTTATGATAAAATTGTTCAGGGTGATATGGGATTTAAACACCAACATTTTAGTTTTTAATTTTGTAATAGGGAAAAAAGGTTAAATAATTCAAAACCTACCAAAAATCAAACAGAACAGGAAAATTTTGTATTAAATCATGAGGAAACATTCACTCAACAATCATTTGCACAGTCAATTAGCTCATATTGTTACCATTAAATAAATTAAAAACAAACTCTTAACCAAGTATAAACATGTTAATTACTAACTTAGTAGTTTAAATAATTGATTTTAAGTTTCCTTTTAAATATAAACAACGAGAAAACCTTTTATCTAAAACTATACTTCTTACAAGAAGTATCATTATTAAACTGGTCATGTTTCCATGTACATGGAATGAGTTTCTAAACCTGAAATAATAACTTATTCCATAATGAAACAAATTTCGTTTTGTTATAGAATAAAAATATGGAGGAAATAATATAAAATTATTGCAATTTTTTTTTTAAACGCGATCCTCCCTAACCTCTCTGGATCCATTGGTGATAAAAATATCATTAATAATTACATTCATGGAATCAAATTAAATTAATTCATTGAATGGATAAAACTGGTTCATATATATCAAATAATTCAAAAGTTAATTTAGCTGAACAATTGAAGCACGAACATATTGAAATAAATTGCTTTAAGGAATTGAAAAATCAAATTTGAATTAGTTCGATAAAATTAACATATTTGACTCGAATGAATTCACTGATTAGTTATAAACATCATAATTATGAATATTAATTAATTAATTCTGACTAATAATACTACAATATATAATTTTAAAAAGTCTGAACTTAATTTTTTTCTTATGGATTTAAAGACATATATAACTAATACTAAGAAGTACTTTTATCTTAATTTTATTTAACTATTTAATTTATTAATTTTGATTATTGAAGGTACTAAACTCAAGTCATTTCTTAAACCAATATTAGATTTCATTACTACAAAAAATGTATGTACAATTAAAACAAAAATAAAAATATGAAATTTAATGTTTTATAATATATAACTATATATCTGAATGAAATGAATTTTGGACCATATAAATACATACATAAACACCTCATCAATTCACACATTCACATAAAAGGGCTTATGAAACAATTACAAAGGGTACAGCATCCAAGTTAAAAAAATGCTCTCATAAAGAGTATACAACTTGCAATAATGTTAAAACTAAAATAAAGGTCAAGAATAAAAAGTACAATATTTAATTAAAATAATAGATTAAAATTATATCTAATTAAGAGACCAGTAATGCACATGACATAATTGAATTGAGATGCCTTAACACTATTATATCACATACTTAATTAAAATAATCCTTTTATACAATGTTCATAATATAATCTTAAGTCATATTTAGTTTTTCTTGAAAACAAACATTAATCAAATGCAATTAGTAGATGGAATTTTATAATTTGTAAGAAATTATTATTTGAATGTATTTTTTTAAGTTATTATAAATTTTAGTAATCTATAAAGAAATATCAAATGAATATGTCAGGAAATTTACAAACTAATAAGTTTTACAGCAATTTTGTTTTTTAAATACTATTCATAAAAAAAGAAAAGAAAAAAAGATGATAGTGGATGTTTTGTATCAAAGAGCACTTTACACAGCTATAGATCACCTAACCTATCTAATCCCGGAAAAAAAAATACAATTTACATAAAATTTTGTAAATGCTGCAATTTCCTATGTTCCATTTCTATAACAATCATCAGCTTTAAAAATAAATAAAAAGTTAAAAACCCGTGTAAAGATTGGAATGGAAACAAACACAACTAAGTGGCAAATATATTTTAATAAAGTAATGTTCTTTTTCAATTTGTATAGATTATTTTGTCTTTCATTCAACCATAAAGATGTATTTACATGGCAATAATTTATTTTTCATATTAAATTAATAGAGATTAAAACATTCATTTTCACCCACCACAGAAAACTAAAAACAAACAATAATTCACTATAAAATATCAATAATAATATAATACTCAGTAATATTCAAATAGTTATAAATACAAGATACAAATCATCATATCACAGATTAAAAACATTAATATTGGAATTAATAACCAATATTTAGAAAACTTTTAAAAATTAAAAATATCTTAATTATTTCTTAAGAATGCAGAAAGCATATATAGATCCAAAAATACAAGGAGAAATTATGACAATAATCAGTGCCTGCACATCTGCTTGAGGGCACTAATCTGGAATAAGGCGGCTGCCACTGGTTGGGAATTAAAAAGGAAATTTTAATAACTCTCATATGTTTTGTAGAGCATAAAAATAATTAATATTAGCCCATTAATTACGAAACAAGAAGAACAGAAATATAATGAAACATGAATTTATTAATGAATTAAAAACAGGTTAAATTAAATGTTATTAAAATATTAAGAAATATTCAATAGATTAAGAAATAAATTAACTTTGTTTTAGCAAGATGACATCATTGCCCAGGGGTGCCAAACCTCTTAGGTCGGCAATGATAATGATAGTGCTAGAAGTGTGATTCTGATAATACCTAAATACCTCTCTGTATTTAACCATAGATCATGGTGAAGTTCAAACATATCAACAAGTAGGGACTTAGTACTTTCTTCTTCCCTCTTCTATTATTAATAGTGTTTATTTAATTTTTTCAGCAGTTCTAACTTTATATATCCACTTAGATCACCATGACACAATAACATTAATTAAAGTTGAAAGTCAAAACGTATTTCCATGACAGCAGATATATGAAAAACCAGTGTTGTTTTTTTTTCAGAAAATCTTAAGTTAAATACATTAACTATGTTAAATAATTAACAACTAATGAAGACACGCACAAAATTAAATTTTAATTTTCAAACTAAACTAAAAATAATTCCACCCACCATTAAAAAGATTAAATAAAGTAATCAATCAAAACTCTTGAAATAGAGACATTTTAACATAATCCCATCCAAAATTAAAATGGAACAAGAACAGTTAATAATTACTTTTAAAATAATAAATGATTTAAAATTATATATTAACCATACATCACTTGTGTTTGGTCAAAAGAGTTAAGACATTATTTTTATCATTGCCCTTTGTGTTACATTTTTTTGCTGTTTTATTTATCTTCTATGTAGTGTTGGTTTATTAGTTTTTTCTGCCTGTTTATTTTTTACCAATAAATACATTTATTTTATATATAATTAACTCTTTATCAATATATTTACAAATATATAATAAACATTTAAAAAAAATAATCATTTTTATTAAAAAAAGTTGACTTCTTGACCAAAAAAGTAATTTTTTTTTAATATAGATTCATCTGAGATTCCAGTGTTTTAAAAAAATCAGGATTTTTTGAATAAGAAGAAATAACAACCTTCCCTTCCCCTCACGAAATTGATGGCTTAGTCCCTTTTGACAAAACAACAGTGATAATCATTCCATGAACAAAGTTAGTAACCATTTATGTTTTAACACTAATACAGTCAACAATCATTGTAAAATATATATATAAAAAGTATAATTGACTATAAGCAGGAAACATAGAATCTTTGTTAGACATTAATCATACATGAATTTCTTTTTAAGATTATTAATTGCCATCTCATCCACAATAATTTTAATAAAAAAAGTATACACATGCACACACACAAGCTATGCATATACATACAAATAAATCCATTGAAAACATATATATATATATATATATATATATATATATATATATATATATATATATATATATATAAACACAATTATTTAAATTGGAATATAATACTCAAAGGTTGATTGAAGAAATTTTGTAAATTATATATATATACACATATATATTCTTTAAATAAAGACAAACTAGTTATAGTAAACAGCATATCAATATGTTTGAATTTCATTAGTTTTCATAACTAATATTTAGATAATTTTAATTCCTTATCCAATTGTGTACAGTTTAAATCTAGGGAAGCAGTATTTAAGAAATTATATTATTATACTGCAAAACAAATGACCAATAAAGGCTTCTATTTTTCTAAAGTCAAAATTAGCTCATTGTTGTAATAACCATAAACTAAATCAATTGAAAACTATTTGGTCCCAATTAGCATAAACATGTAATAAAGGCTAATTATTCCTTATAAGTTCAGATTTCACAACCCTTTTTCAATAAATACAAAAAATATTTATCTTAGATAAGAGCAAAAATTAACTTAACATAAATATTGAACACAAACTAGAGTTTAAATAAAAAAAATCTTCAATTTTATCACAGTTTAAAATTTACCAATGATAAACCATTATTTAAAAAAAAAATATATATATATCAACAACCATAAAACCATCAACTGAGGGTCCATGTTCCATTAACTGAAAAACATTATTTAAAAATAAAATAAAAGTTAAATGTAAGAAAATATGTACACTATCTAATACAACTTAACCAGTTTACAATGAAGTCCCATGAATAATAAATATAATAATTAACCTATAATTTTATGGAAAAATATCAATGTTTCTATCTATCTTTTAATTTACTAACCTATAAGTAGATATCAAACATAAGAGAAAATATGGAAACTAACATATAATAAATTAAAGCATCATGGACCAAACAAAGCAATATCAGAGATTCGAATAGAAATTTTAAAAAAATGAAGGAATACGAATATTCTAAAAAAACGTATATTTTCAAAAAAATCATGCATATTTTAAAAATAAAAGTAGATCAGCATCTTTTGAAAGGGACAAGGCTTATAATTAATCCATCTGGTGTCACCAGGAAAGAAGTTGGGGTGTAGAGTAAGATAGAAAACCTCTTCAAATGCCACAAAATTGACTGAACTAATGAGTCATAACTCATTGCTTCAAGGAACTACTGATTGGTCCTCGCAAACCTAAATGAAACTAATTCCAGAATATAAATCCAATGAATCATGGAGAATCAAATGATATCTCCAAGTTTAGTCACATAAGATCTAAATAGGTCTAAGTTACAAAAGGTTAACCATATTTAAAAATATATCCACATTTCTAAGAAATAATACTACCTACTACACCTCCTTAAATTCCAAAATGCAATTTATGGTCTTTATAGAAATTACATTGGGGACTGCCACATAATAATACAGGAAAGAGGACACGATAGGGGCTCAATCTTTTAGTTACTATATCAGATCAACTTAAGTAATTAAGCCAAAGTAAAAAAGGGGAAAGAGTGGCCAGGCGGGTTAATACATAGCAAAATATTCGTGATAAACTGAAGATTATGAGTTGAAATTCTGGTGCCTGGGGGCTCTGATATTAATCCCCCGCTCTCTACCCTGGCCCGGAAAAAATCCTGTATAGCCGAAAAGGCGAGGAAGGGGGGAAAAAAAGAAGGCAGAAGTAAATATTTAAGTTTTATTTTAATTTAGACTAGAATAAGATTAATTTCTTACTTAACCTAAAAAAACGTTGCTATATCAGAAGGTAGTTATAATGTATATTTGGAAAAATATATAAGAATAAATCTTTGCAATAAAAAACACGGTGGTCTTATATTTATAAACTTTCAATCAACAACTACATATTTCATAGTGTCAACTACGAATATCTCTTCTTGAATATTTGACAGAATGAATGTTGTCTCTTGATTTCTTTCTATACTCATACAACCAAATTATTTTCTTATTAGCACAAGGTGTAAGTAGTTTTATAATTAAAGGATCTTATAAGATTGAATTACACATTTAGTACATAATACTATGTAAGAATAATATTAAAACAGAAAAAATTATATTTATTATGTTTTTATGGTTGACTGTACAGTAATTCAAAGAGATAGTCCAGGCAGAATCAGATTTGTTGTCATGGCATTACAGCAACACGCATGGAAGATAGTGTCAGCCCCTCCCCCTATCACGAGGACTATCTTTATTTAACATTAGTTTTACTTTATTTTTTTTTATAAGATTTGGGTCTATCACCATTCATTAATCGAGCTATTATTTTAATATTAACAAGGTTTCTAAATTTAAAAATATAATTTCATTCAAGCGTTGCCCCTCAGCATGAATTGCTGCCCTAGGCTAGAGCCTTGAAAGCCTGTGTGTAAATCTGCCAAAGGGTCTCGGTGGTGATCAAGAAAAACATCAAATAACAGAACTATTTATAAAATACTGAACATATGATTATATAAACATAAAATAAAATACTTTTCATTATTTGATATTATTCTTGACCAACAACCCATCTCAAGAAAAATTATTGTTCAGATAATTTTTGGTTTTAATTTTAAAAAATTCAAACTTATGAATAAAATAAAATATAATATTAGCGCCAGAAATAAAATTCTTTAATACTTTCATTACATAAGTAGTTTTATTAAAATATTCCCCAATATTTAAATAAAACTGAACTTCTTCACAAATCCATTATTTTTATAATACTAATTTTTCATATACTGGCGTTTCTCAATTTAAGGGAAAGTTTTAGTCCATACTTTAAAAAATTTATTAAGTATAATCTGGTTTTTATCCTACTGCTATATGGTGAATTAACATATCTTTACAATGAAATATTAAAGAATTATATGATTTTATGGTTGCTTCAGGTATTAAACTGTCATTACTTACATAACATACCTTAACATTAGGTAAAGATACGACCGCCTCGTATCCTACATACATGGGCAAATATTGGGCCAATCTCCCATCCTGCAATATTTGACTATCATGTGCCAATGATGTTCGCTGCACAACTAGGCCGATACGCATTATGGAACACATAGACTAATTTTGACCATGAGTGTGGCCTTACCTTAAGTTATAAAATATAAATAATTTTATTTTAATAAAAACCTTTTAGAATGTTTGGTTATTTATAATTTCCTATATGCAGGGGAGCAAGCACATTCAGTTCATCTTCTACCCAGTTTCACTTATTTCTTTACCTATAGATCTTTAAAAATTTATATTGAATTCAAGTGAATGGTCATTATTAGGGATGGGATGGCACAGCAACCTGATTACAGAAGATAGAATAATTAAGAGTTCGCGTCCCAGTGCAGGAGGGGGGGAGGCTTTTAACTATGACTTAAATCTCTCACACTCTCCCCAAACCCGGGTAAAATCGTGTATAGCCTAAAAGACGTGGAAGGGGATTTTAAAGTTTTATAAGTTTTCCATGAAAAAAACTTTTGACCTTTTGTCAAGATTATTTTAGCTGAATGTCAATAGAAGGTGTAGGTATAAAATGAGTTTTTTTTAATGCAGTCAAAATTATTAAAATTTTATTAAGAAAAGTGGCCATTATTAGAAATTCACCCATATAATTCAATAAGTATTGTGTATGTTAATTAACTCTAGGAAGACAAAATGAGAAAGAGGTATATCAAACATATGATTTTTAACCTCTAATAAAACAGAAATACTGAAACAGGATCTACCAAATTCAATTTGATTAACTACAAATATCTAAAACATTCAAAAACAACTAGAAAAATGTACCTAAAAGTATTCATGTCCAAAGGAACACACAACAAAAAAATATACATATATATAGGGAGTGGGGTAGCTCAGTGGTAGAGCACCCAGCTTTGAATGCTCAAGATCCCAGATTCGAATCCCGGCAGAAAAATTATTTATTCTGTTTCATCTGCTGTGGGGCTACACTGGGATCAAGAGATCCTCCTAGGGTACACCCAGCCTCTACAAAGTGGGTACCCCTAATTATATATTTAATTAAGGGGAAAGACCTTGCAGTTGAGCATAATCTCGGTCAAATCATCTCCTTGCACAACCGCTGACCAATAAACAGTACTTTCCCTAAATAATACTAAACTCGAGACCCTTCATGGGTTGTAGGTGGTAGTTTTTTTTTAACAGGGTGTCCCGTAAGTAGAGGGAAATATTTAAATGGTAGATAGTAGAAATCAAGATCTATAAAAAAGTTCATATAAACAATTGCCCAATTTCCAGCAGAAAAGTAGAAAATTTAAGATTTGTGTTTTTTTAAGCAAGTCACATTTTTTGTTGAATAGGAAGCAATAATTTAAAAAACACGGAGCCCTTGGAAGATGAGAATAAAGATGTCTTCTATAATACCATAGAAAGAGGTGATGTGAGCTATATATGCCTAGAGAGATTTGAAAGTGCATCTATATATTTAACCTATGAATGATTATGGTCCGTACGACTATTAGTTATTAAACTTTTATTTTGCATTGTAATGTTTACTAAAATGGAGTTATGAGATTTTCATTGCCTGCCATAGGTAGGTCAAAAGTTGTCACACTAATTGTAAGTAGATAATGTTGGGGTTTCACAAAGGGAAATTCATCAAATTATTTACTAATTTAATGTCCTAAAAGTTTACATGATAATTTTTTTAGAATAAACAGACGATTGATACCAAATTCATATATTATTGAATCTAGAGTTATTAAACTACAGTCAATTTATTTAAGGTTATAATAAACAAATGTTTTACATATTCATGAAATAATTTTATATTTCACACAATTACAATGAAATAGTTTTTTAAATGTCATTGCCTTGATTCATTGGGTGTTATATACTTCTTTTTAAAACTTAAAAACAAATTTTAAAAGTTTATATTTAATTAGGAAATTTCATTTAATTTCCTTGGAAACATGTTATTTACATTAAATAATACCAGTTTTCACAAAATCAGCCAGGCGAATGGGAATGTTGGACCCCTCTGCCGCAAATGTGCAATTTTAAAAGTTTATATTTAATTAGGAAATTTCATTTAATTTCCTTGGATACATGTTATTTACATTAAATAATACCAGTTTTCACAAAATCAGCCAGGCGAATGGGGATGTTGGACCCCTCTGCCGCAAATGTGGACGAGAGTCAGAAACCCCAGCTCATGTATTGAGCGAATGTCCGAATAACATATTCCTTGTCAGAAATTGCCGAATTCCTGGAGAAGAAAAAGTCTAGATGCTTCCTAGTAGTGTATTGCCTGGATACGGAAGGCTCAGCGAGATTTGTAGATATCTTGACCTTTAATGCGAAAGGAAAAGAAGCTCTGACAGCTGATCCTACTATTAGATTTGAAAAAAACGATGAGGATCAGGATCTCAAAGTACAAAAAAAAAAAAGGAGGAAATCTATGGAAAATGCATACTGTACCTGATAGAGAAATATAAAGAGGAATTTGGTTAGAGATAATATTCGGCTCGGGGACTATGGTTCTAAGGAGTAGAGGAGCAATTCTGCCTTTAACTGCTGATTTTTTGGAAGAACTAGATGTTGAAAGGAACCACCTGCTGAGTATGGAGAACTCTTTATTTTAGACATTATTGGGAATCCTACACCACCATCTGTATTAATTCTGGGTGTTTTGTAGTGGAGTCAGCGGACAAAAAAGAGATGGAAGAAAATTTAAAAAAAAAGTTGTAACAGTGAATGAATGAATTATAATATTCGTTATGTTGGATAATGGTCCCGTAATACTTTATCCTATGTGTTCTCTTTTGTTAAATTGTATCAATTTTGACTGATTAGTATGCTGAGTGATTTAGCAACTCAACACAGATGAGCAGTAGTGCAATTTATTGTTCTTTTCTCTTATATTTCTTTTTTTTTGTCACTCTCTGTTACCTTCTACGACTATCTTAATTAGATATTGTTTTTTTTCTTTCTGAAACTCTCCGCTTTCCAATTATACATATCCCTTTGGCTATTATATCCGTAGATTCATTTATTTAGAGCTAAATAAGCATTTTTCTTTTTTTTCTCCTTTATTTAATTATCAAATTCTTTCGAAAGTTACATTTAGCCTTTTTTAATTACTGCAAACAATGGAATATAATTAATTATTTAAAATAAACCAAATTAAAGGTACTTTAGAGGAAGAAATTTTGAACATTGGGTACTAAGGCCCTGTTAAGCAACATCCATGGTGATAAATCTAAATGATATTAAATATTACTTAATTATATATTGATACATTGAGTTCAATCAAAATCGTTGGAGCCGTTTTATAGAAAATTGTAAAATCGATGATATAAAGTGGTACTTTCAGTTAGTCAACATTCCAGGCATATAATTAACTTAAATATGCACTTTCAGTTTTGTACAGCTTTTCTTTTTTGGAGGTAGACTGTTCACACGCTTGCTCTCACACACAAACACACACACGCACGCACACGCACACGCACACACACACACACACACACACAGGTTTAAACGAAAGAAACCTGCTGATTGCTTATTATTTATTATTAAAACATTAATTATTTTCATGAAAACATTAATATTAGAATCAGAAACATTTTGATTGTCCCTTATTAATATGGATCAATTTCTACAATACAAATCTGAATGAAAAACACAGTTTCATAAACACTTTACCAGACATTTTTTTGAAAAACCATTATTTTAAATTTTTTAATATTTATAAATCAAAAGTGTATTTAGGCAATCAAGTTTACTATAAAATATCCGAGATCATGGAAAAATTAGAAATAATAGGTTTGCAACAATTAATTGTAGTCATTTTTGCTGAAAACAGGGGTACTTTTACTTGGCAGGATAAAACATCACATATCATTTCTTACAAAACTTGAGGTGAATCTCAAATTTTTCTCCAATAAATCTCAACTCAATTAATACATAAATAAATAAAGCTTATTAACCGAAGAAGTTTTCCAAAATTGGGTTACCTGTAGTATAGTTGGATAATCATAATAGTTATCGCTCCCTATTCAACAAAAAATACGACTACTAAAAAAAACACAAAACATGGATTTTCTACTTTTATGCTGAAAATTGGCCCATTGTTCGTAAAAACATTATTGTAGCACTTGAGGTCGGCTATCATTTCTATAAAAATTCCCCTCTACTTACGGGACTCCCTGTATATAATAAATAATAGATAATACACTGTTAATTGCTATTGCTAATTCATGTAGTAAAATTTTAAAAATAAATAAAGAAAACATAGATAATAATTTATAAAAGAAAGAAAATGTAAGAGTAACATTTACTCTCACTTAAACAATGAATAAAATTAGACTTGCCCTTTAAAAAGCAGGCTGAACCACTTTATCTCCCAGTTAGCAATTTAAAAATATCTTAAATTAACAGTTCATAAATAAATAATGAAAACCAATACTGGGAATCTTTAAAATAAGTGATTTCAATGTATGACTAAGTTATTTTTCCTTAGCAAATACAATAAAAAATGTATGAACTATTTATTTTAATTTAGCATAGTTCTTCTCATATTCCTTAAAGTATATTTAAAAGAAGTGATAATAATAAAATAATTATCAAAGCTATAATTAATTAACATTGAATAAAATCTATAATTTATCAAGATTTATTCATAACTGAAATGTAAAGAGAAAAAATATAATACTCAATAGCCTATAAGTATAATTATATAAATTACATATTGTTTATTTTGATTGTGTTCATATGATCCCATATCCGTAGTACAGAACTTCTATACACATAACTTTTATGGGTTAGATAAAAAATATTATACAAAGATGTAATTATATTGATAATAAACATCTAGGTACATGGAACCTCAGTTCAAAGCATAAACAGAGATCATTATCACATTAGTTTAATCAATCATAAGCAACAGTTCTATCACAACAGTTTAATCAATCTTAAGCAACATTAACATAAAATTTAATGCAAAAGATTCAGCCAGGAGGTATTGTATCATCTGCACTTTCTTCAGAAGTCTGAATACCTAGCTTTTGTAAATCTTTTAAAACAGGAAAAGGTCTTTTCGGCCAAACATGCCTAGCTTTCAGGGCTAAAGCATCCCTTTGAATTTCTTCTAAATCCAATACATATGGATAAATATTTTGTTCAACCCATTCCCCAATAGTATAAAAATCAAAAATATCAGACAATGATTCCCTAGCAACTCTACTAAGAGATGTCATTGTATGATAAATTCTCGAATGTTCCTGCATTAATTCTTCAATGCGAAGTGGGGTGGAAAAATTGTGCCTGACATTATACTCTGTCATCCAACCTTTTTGTTTACGTATCATTTCTATTAATTCTTTAGCTTCTTTTTCAGCATTGTTGAACCTATACGTGAGTTTAAAAAAAGCATGACCTGGAAATGTACATCTAGAATAAGAATCCCACAAAAATGGGTCGGTATTAAGATTGAAAAATGAAGTAGGTCCAAATACACCACAACCAAGATATGTATTTAGCTTAGTTCTTATAGATGAGTTCAAATAACCATGAGTTGTAGCGACCATAGTAACAGCTAATGAAGGTATTGCTGCAGGTAGTAGCTCACAAAGAACAGAAAAATGATCATATCTGAAAAAATAAATAAATGATTAAAAAATTGTGTGTATATATATATATATATATATATATATATATATATATATATATTTACATATACTAGCATACTAAAATTTCAATAAATTAAATAATAATTTAAATAAATAAATAATAATAAATTTATTAAAACTAAATAAACCTTTGCCAGCCAGTAATAACTATTCCTTGAAAACCATTTTTGAATTTTAGTCCTTCATTATTCATAACTTCAAGCCATCTTAGATTATTTTCTAGATGTCTTTTAACATTGGGAACATATAAAGTTTCACCAAATGCTCCTTTAAAGGCACTAGCTGCCCAAACCCTGGGAAAAACAGCAGCGTACTTGTCCCAAACTGAATACTGAACAAAACGATACACATCTTCAGCATAAACCCATACCTGAAATAAATTCACACTATAAAATAAATATAAATTCAAAAATGTAAATTTTAATTTTCAATAAAATATAATTGGAGTCAACAGTAGATGACTACATTTCAGATGGACAAAGGTGTCAGGCAGGGTGATAGCCTTAGTCCTCTTCTTTTTACATTATATAGACAAAATACATTAGATACGTAAGAGGACAATCCCAACATTAATTGCTAGATAGAACATAAGTCCTATTGTAGTCCGGAGCTTTCTATATGCTCAAAGCGAACAAGAGAAAAGCAGTAGCAAACTCTTGTTGAATGGAAAGAGGAGCTCCATTGGAAAGGAATGGTGATAAATAAGAACAAAAGCAAAGTACTTGCTTTGTCAAGCCATGAATACGAAGGAATAGATGTTATACAACAGAGAAGCTCTTGAAGTGGTGGACCACTTTCCCTACTTAGAAACCATCATTAGCAGGTATGATAAAATATATGTAGAAATTGGAAAAAGGATTAAGATGGCAAATATAATATATTACCAGATTTGGAATAGCATAATTAGCCAACAGAATGTAGAGAAAGCAACTAAGCTTCACAGATACAAAGCAGTATACCTACCTCCTAATATTCACAAATGGAAGTAAAAGTTGTGTCATGCTTGATAAGAACACCAGCCGAATCATGAGAACAGAAATGAAATATCTTCACAGTGGTTGGTAAAACAAAGAGAGACCACATACACAATAAGAGTATAAGGGGTCAGCTTCAATTGACAGGATTAAAAACCAAACTCGAAAAGCGACAGCTTAAGTGGTTCAGACATGTTTGCAGTATGACTGAACAGTGACTACCCAGAAAGATTATGTAAGTCATGAGGATTGAGTACAAAGAATAGGAGAAGAAAGCAAAGAGAAAACTTTGGCTCAAATGAAGAGGATGTATCAAAAACAGTTCGACTGGCTCCACTGGATTGAGGCTCTGTTACGCCAGTAATGGCTCAAAGAGGAGGATAAAGAAGAATAACAAGGGCCAATAGTCGCAAGATTAATATAATCATAAAAGCAAAATAAAATGAAAACTTCAAGCCCTTAATTCTCTGCTTTTAGAGGGAATCTGAGAGGATGTAGCATTCAGTTCAAGTAATATTGCAGAAATTTTATCAGAAAATTGCACACTATGGTCTTACCCCATTGAAGAAGAGAACTAGTGCCAAAATGATCATTATAATAATAATATAACATCAAATTTTTTTTTATTATGGTAAATATTCATGTTTATGTTAAAAACTGAAAGGACTTTTTAAACCAATTTTTTAAAACTTTTCTAAAAGATGTAATCATAAATACATTAGATCCACAATAATCCATACATAAGGACAGTGAACATGATTATTTGTCATCATCATTATCACACTCCAATCCCTCTCTACAGCTGCGCAGTGTGGGGACACCTTCTCTAGAGTATGGACCAAGTGCCCCTCTTCCGTAGCAACTCTCTCCTCCTATTCTAGTTCAGCCCTTGTTTCCTGAATGCTTTCCACATGCCTTCCTTTTAGGTGATACATGATGTTCCTCTTGGTTTTCTTCCCTCCACTCGTGTCTCATATGATATCCTGGCTGTTCTTACCATATTCATTGTCAGGAGCTACCAAAAACATCTTAGTTTATTCTCTTCTAGAGTGGTGTCTACCAGCTATTCCTCGAGGTTGGACCTTATCCCTGTGTTGTGGATCCAGTCTCTCCTGATCTTTGCTTCAACCTTTCTCAGGTACCTCATCTCGATTCCCTGTATCTGCATCTTGCATTTAGAGGTAAGGGTCCATGATCCTGAGGAATAAGAATAGATAGGCAAGAATGTTGACCTATAGACAGATAACTTTGTTTTCTTAGTCACCTCTCTTTTGTTGAGGAAACCTTTCCAGATTGAAAGGAACATTCTTCCAGCTGCTCTCAGTCTTTGTGAAACCTCTTTATCAATATAGCTGATTTCGTTGATTCAGGCTCCAAGATATTTGAAATCCCCAATATTCTCATAACTCGGTGGGGCCGTCTTCCTATCCATGTTGATGCTGGACAGCTGTTCTTGCATTATATTTACATTGTATTGTAGGTCCTGGTCATTCGCAGGGAATATAACGAGGTTATCAGCAAAAGTGAGCATTGTGTAAAAAGTAGACTGTGAGTAAGTAGACTATGCCCAAGTTAAAAGCACCGCAATCTGGATTTAGCTCTCCTCCGCACCTGATCCAGAACCAATACCAAAAGTAGGAGACTTAAAAAAATAGTGGAAATGCTGACAGCACTAAAAGTATCCAATGAGAGCAGCAATTTTTGAAACACATTTCTACAATGATCGTTTTCAATGAATATACAGCACTAAATGATCTACCAAAAAAATTATTAAACACTCTTGCCAACAACAAGGAGTTTTTAACTCCACAATTAAAAAAGAAATTGGAGTTTGAGGATATTGAAACATTAACTGCTGTAGATGATGCAAACGGGCTGAATGTTGAAACAGGTCTTATCAGAACAAGGTTACCATCGTTGGAACGAGACATAGATCTTCTCATAACATAAAGACAAATAAAGATAAGCATACTGCTCATAGCTCTTACTCCCGAAGATATAGACATCCGATTGTTAAGAAATACTCTGGAAAACACAAAAGAAAGGGTGCACACTTCGCACAATTTAAATCTTTTGTATGTTTTGAGGAATTGTAAAGAATCTGTACTGTATTCCACCGCCATTAATGGCTGTAATATCACTTCCACTTTTTTTGGCAAAGGAAAATCTAAAAGGATAACCTTACATAAGAAAAGGGAGGAATTGGAAGACATTGTATGTATTTCCAATAATCCCCAATCGACAAAACCAGAAATAGCAACTGCTATTTAAAAAAAATCTGTACCTCTACAACTTAGGAAGAGCCTTGTTGTGTAAGGAGGTGATTTAATCGAGACAGGTTTTTTCTTTGCACAGGTTGAGATTTTGACACACGAGAAAGGTTGCACTTTGGAAGACCAAGAACAAGCCCGCCTAACTATTGCAATACCAATACCCAGACTAGCAAAAAAAATCGATTATTTGAATAAAAATTAAAAAAAAAAAGGCAAAATAGTTACTAATACTTGACAATCTTAGTTATTATATGTAAAGAATTGGTTTTTTAAGGCTGTTTTTAATTTTAATTAAGTCTGGTATTGAGGAGATTGGTAGTAAGAATATCAACCAGAGAGTCGATAGAAGAGCAAGAATACATTCCATTCCAATCTAGGATTTCCAGGTCAGGTAATATGTTTTCTCATGTAAGGGTATCTAGATGGCAGAAGGTGATAGTTTGAGGCTGGATAGAAGGAGTTTAGATATTTTAGGTTATTTGTATCATATTGTGAAATGACAAAGAGGATACTGGCAGTTGGGAAGAGGAGAGGAGATTTTGTGCAGAGTCTATAATGTAGAAATCTAGCCAAGTGTCGGACTCGCTAGTATGGTGAGTGGGGGAAAAAGGAATGATGAAGAGATGAAGAGAGAAGAATAGGTCTTCTAGATAGGATTTATCATGGGAGGTAGAAAGGAAAGTGGTATTGAGGCCACCAGAGATTATTATTCTGGGATAGAGGGGAACGAAATTCAATAGGGTAGATTCAAAGGAAGGGTCAAATGGAACAAGAGGACGATATGCCACAGAGTAAAGGAGAAGAGAGGTATTACAGAGGATTTCTACTAATAGGTATTCAATTTGTGGGTGGTTGGAAAGTGGAGAGAAATCGAGAACTCGTGTTTTCAGACTATTGTGGACAAATATGGCTACTCCACCGCCAGTCCGGCTTACTCGGTCATGACGGAGGAGAGTGTAATTATGCCCCACATTACGTTATAACTCAATTCTAATGGTGTGATGGTGGGTAGGGGTCTAAAATAAACCTTTAATAGCCCATTCCATTATGTGTTGTAAAATATTCCTGTTCACAAAGTTAAAAGTTTAATTATTAGGATCTTGAATACCTTCTTGTAGTTTTTTTGTGAAAATTAATGCTTTGTTTAAAGTAAGTGGTAAAAAACAAGTCACTCAAAGTATTGCCTATAACTAACCACAACTGTCTTCCATCTTTCTGGTAGCATATGAATACCATGTTGGAATCACGATTTCTTTTAAGGCTATCCAAGAATTGACCCATTTTTTGGTATCTTCATAACAATAAAACTGCTGCTCAGGTAAAGTGCCATTGAACAAAATAAGTATTAATCGGAAGGGGCTATATCTGGTAAATACAATGGGTGGGGTAGCACTTTCAATGTAAGCATTAACAGGTAAGTTTTTATTGGTTTTGCAACATATGGTCAAATGTTGTCATGTAATAAAATCACCTTATCGTATCTCTGCTTGAATAGCAGCTATTATTCCTTTAGGGCTCACCTAATGACCATCTTTAGTGATCTCAAATGATACTTTTGTTTGGTTTGAACAACTCATAATAAATTACATCGTACTGATCCCTCCAAATGCAGAGAAGCTTGAGGCTCACCACGAGTTTTTTTTAGCTTAGGATTATATATTTTTCATAACCAGTCATGATATGATGCAAAAAACTTTTCCTTTTCTTCCAGTGAAGCCATACTTCACACATGAGGAAATGTTTCATGTTTTTCAATGTCTTACTTTTGGATCATTCCTAATGCTTTCAAACACTTTAAAACCATTGTATCATCTGCTAGTAATGATGACTTAATCAGTATATTGAGTTTTGAATGAAAATAAAATAGAATATATTAATTAAAATAATTCAGATTTAAAAAATGCAACTTCCATTACCTTAAAAAAATGATAAATTTGAAGGGAACCTTGTGGACTTATGGCTCCCTTAACATGAAGCCCTTCTGGAGGATAAAATTGAGTTGTACTGCGTTCCATGAAGAGAAAATAGACTCTGAGGTGGGTCATGCCACCAGCCGAGCAAAAGAGAGAGACAGCTCCTTCAGAAGATTGTATACACAATGATTTCTCTCTCTCTCTCTCTCTCTCTCTCTCTATATATATATATATATATATATATATATATATATATATATATATATACATTTTTTTCAATCATATATATTTTAAGCATTTACCAGAAAGTAGCCAATACAGCACAATTTTACAATACACCCGATACAAAATGTTCTAATTTAGGTATAAAGGATTAGGACCTGTTGGGGATTAGGCATAGGGATAACCCTGCCCCATAAAACACCTAATGATACAAAAGTTCAGACAATCAGCCTTAAAAAATAATTTATTTCTGTACTTGAATTTTTAAAGTAGGCTAATTTTCAGAAATTCAACAATTACAGAAATGTTATGAATTGTACTTACATATGGACTTCAAAAATTGTCGTAAGGAATCATGCAGAAATAATTCTCAAAAATTTCATCCAGCCACGGCCCACTTTAAAAATTATTAATAAATCAATGAGTGGTAAAGAAATGAACATTTTTTTTATCTCCTTTCTTATACACATTAATATGAAACTTTTTAATCAAATATTAACATAATATCAACAAATCTAGACATCCTTAGTTATCTTATGATTAGTTCTGATATACAAATTTCAAGCCACAGGCCACAATATTCTCAAAAATAAGTTAAACGCTGTTTTTTTTTTCTGAAACTGTAACATTGCTTAAAATTTTTGATAGCTCTGTATTTGAAAAATATAAGCCTTCCTCAGTTTCTGGAAAACTTCAAAAGATGGTGAAGAGGCAGAAGAAGATACTTCCTCTTTTAACATTGATGGCCTTGTCTTAATAAAAGACAGTTATAAAGAGATAATGAAAATAAATTGAATTATTTTAACTTTAAATTAATAGATTGCTGTCTGATTGCATGGTATTACAAAAACCATATCTTATTGAAATATCTTACAACGTTTCTACTCATATACATAAATCCAAATAAATTTTCTGGAGAGATCTTGATTCATTAACCACGGAAAACATCAGCCCTTTTCTCAATTTCCTATCTGCTTCCTTAGAACCCATTTATTCTCTCCCCTCCATTGATGACATGGTCGAATGCCTTTCCTATAACCTCCTTGATTTTCTTAATCATCATACATCTCTTTTAACACGTTTCTTTAGGTGTCCTTCCGTTGCCTGGATTAATACACAAATAAGAGAACTAATGGAAGAAGAGAGGCTACATATATACTTGACTACCTCAGCATTATTCCACATTCAAATCCCTACAAAACCTCACATAAATATACCTAGCCACTCAAAAGCCCAATACATCTTATCCCTAGCACTCGATTCTAAATCCAAATGGACAATCCTTAAGAACCTCTCTTGTTCTTAGCTCCAAAACTGCACACAATATCCAGTTGATCCAAACAATCCAAAACTCCTTTTTTATTGACCAGCCACCCTCCACATATACATCAGATCACTCACATTTTTCTATCACCGATAACCCCTTCGATCCTAATAAGTTATATTTTCTCCATATCTCTCCTACTGACCTACTCTCTGTCATCCTTAAATTAAAAACAAATGATTATCAAATTATGCAGCACTTCTACACATAAATAATCTCTCTCTCCAAAATTCCATTTTCCAAAACCTGGAAAAGAGGCATCGTCCGCCCATTGAACAAAGTTCCTACTCCTTTATCAGATTCCGATTTCAGACCCATCTCCATTTTATCCTATCTATCCAAGCCTCTAGAAAGATTTGTCGACTCTCAGTTGAACAACTGTCTCAAGCTAAACTGTCTCCTCAATCCTATACAATTTGGTTTCCATTCCCAATATTTCACCCAATCTGCCATGCTTAAGATTACCCAAGACCTCCAATCCTCCTTAGATAAACATAAAGTTTCTATCCTAATCCTTTTTAACTTTTCAAAAGCCTTTGATTCTGTCAATCATAAGATCCTACTTTCCAGACTCCAAAGCCTGTGTTCATATATATCAAATAGTGTTCTAAAATCCAATTCCTTTCCTAATCACATTATAAAAAACCTAATTAAAAATCAAACCAAACCTCATCTTCACCAGTCTTTCACAAACTGCTCTCAATTTCTTACCACGATTCGCCAATACAGATCCATTTCATACATCCCAGTCCTATCTCTAAAAATCAAAAAAGCTTTAACTTCCAAATTCCCTCATCTACAAATATTTTTCAAAAAGAACAGTAAATTAAGAAATCTATACACCAAACTCAAAGACCCTGTTCCGCTCCTACAACAATCAAATATACTATATCACACATGCTCTAGCGCAAACTACAATTCTTCTTATATAGGAGAAACCAAAAACTATTAAAAAAAAAAAACGATTATATCAACACAAATACAGCATCTCCACACGAAACCCGCTCGCCTCGAAACTAGCCGAACATGCCATAATCCTCAACCACACATTTGATTTTGAAAACCCAACCATACTTGCCACAGTTCCCAATCTCCAAAAATGACTACTTTTTGAAGCTATATTTATTAATTTGGAAACAAATTATCCAGTTAACCACAAAATAAATAAAAAAAAAAGATCTGCAACACATATCGAATATTTTCTGCCTCCTAAAACAATAGTCTATAATAATTAAAATTTTGTTTTTCATTTCCACATCCACTTACATGGGTAACTATTTCTATGTTTATTATATATATATATATATATATATATATATATATATATATAATGTATATATACATATAATGCCCATTCTCAATATAAATATATACTATAAGCAGGCACAGATATGTTTATACTTATACTATTAAAACTATGTAATCCTTAATATAATACATACTTCTATTATGATTAATATTGTTACTTTTAAAATATTGTATAATATATTGTCCAATGTATCTTTTCAATCCATTACAATTGTCTTTATTATAAATATTATTTGGCTAACCATTGTATACCTTCAATCAAACTATGTTATATTTATATTGGTTGGCACCTCTTGCTTATGTTCATTTCATTACTAGCCAATGGTCAAAATTCTGTAACCATAAGAAATAAAGCAAATCTTGTACAAATTTTGAATATTAAGTCAGCAAATTATTTACATTCCCCAACAGAAATGTTACCTCCCTCCCCCCCCTCTGACTATGTTTACCTATATTTTGCTATCTGAAAAAGGATAACTGGAAAATCCTTCCCCAGCCCTTTCACTTACCTACCAAATGTGTTAGTACTTGAAAGCCTTTAGTGCTCGAACCACGGTTAGTAAGAAAAAATATTACAAATTTTTATAAAAGGATTATATACATTATGTTTAGTTTGTATAACTTTTTACATATTTCATTTTTAATATTGTGTATTGTAATAATAGTTAAGATTCATGTACCATCAATCACTATAGTTTATTTTTTACCATTATCGGTCATATAATATTATATCTCTGATTGTATATTTAAATTTTCAGCCCTGATGATGACCCACATATTTGGGTTGAAACGTCGGCACAAATAAAACATTTTTATACTGACTGCGTCCTGAATATTTATCATCCATGATATGTAGAACAGTCGACTAGCTTTCTTCAATAACAATTATACATGTTTATTCTCTTTGCGCTAAAGGTAACATTTTGTAGTCTGCAACTGTTATATGTAGTCTGCTAAATAGGAAAATAGCTGAGGAAAATAAAATAGGAAATTATGCTAATAAATCATAAAGAAAAGATGCATAAGATGCTCTTTCATAAAAAAACTGAATTTTTACATATGACATGACCTTTTGCAATAATAGTAACAATATTACTAAATTAACAGAAGTATATAGTCTGATCAATTCGTAATTCATAAATTTCCTTCCTAATTAATTAAGTGATTAATATCTCATGGGAAATCTTATTTTCTAGTTACAACGGAATAGAAAAACAATTTTATTCAAGGGAAATGTCAAAAATAATCTATATCTTACCATAGGCTCAACTAGATCACCAATATGATATTGTTCTAAATTACTTAGAGCTAAATGCCTCAACATATCATCCCAAATGATGGGGATTACATTTTTATACAATGTTTTAACAATTGTAGCAATTTTAGAGACATGGCCAAGAAAAAGGTTTTCTCTGGACTGTAATCTACACTTAGAACACTCTCCCATCTGAAAGACTTCATCACAGCCTATATGAAGGTACTTTGATTCATTGTGTATTTCCATAACCTGAAAAACAAAAATATTAAGAAAAAAATGAAACCAATAAATGGAAATAAAAAATGTTTGAATAGCATCCAAAACATAGCAATAAAAAAGTGACAAAAATATTGTTTTTTTATAATTTAGAGATGGATAGATAGTTGACTATTGAAATAGTAAAAAATAAAAAAAAAACATACAGAAATCTCATCTGTCATAATTCTATTCATTCCCTATGTTATGGCTTACCAAAAATTAACAAATCCAGTCATCCTATCATTTTGAATATCAACTCTCCCTCTTCCAAACTTAGTAATTTCCTTCTCCCTTCCCTACAATCTCTTATTCAAAATAATCCCTATTTTGACGTTAAAAATTCCTTTATTTTATTTGAACAATTAAAACCTTTACATATACCTAATAATTTTATTTTACTTCCCAAGATGCTGAAAGTCTTTTTACCAATACCCATACTGACCGTACCCTCCAAATTGTTGAAGAAAACTGGGCTACCTTAGAACCACATATTTCCCTCAATCAATCCTCATACCTTCAATCCCTCTCATTATATTGTACTTATGGCTATCTGCTTCCAAAATAAATGTTTTATCAAACTTTAAGCCTGGCAACTGGAAATTGTCTCGTCCCTGACCTTTCAAGTATTGTCCTCAGCAACCTTCTTTTGAGTCCATACAACCTCTTTTTCTTAATGACATTTTGTTTAATAAAAAATACATAGATGACCTAATATTAATTCTTGACCATAATTTGATTCCAAACATCCTGATTCAACTCCCATCCTCCATGACTTAATTTCACCGTTGAAATAGAAACAAATAATTTATGAAACTGAGTATATTCCTATTGAGTATATTCCTGTTCCTGTATTGATTCTATGGTTAACAATCTCACGCCCATAAAAACTTATGCCCATGCCCCTATCAAAAAATTTATATTTACCCCTATCATGACATCTACCTTTCGTCGCTGTCTGGCTCCCTTGATGTGTCGGCAAATTAAGGATCTTCTGAAGAGACGTGATGCTGCTTGTTGATGCTTTAGACATTCTAGGCTTGCTGATGACTATTAAGTGTTAAGGGTGCTCTGAAACCTGACACAAACCTGAATCCGATGAGACAAATCCACCTATTTTCATAAATCCCTCTCATCAGTTCTTGATCCCAAATTCAAATGGCTACTCCTCTGTAAACCCTCCCTCAGCAGTCTTTCCAGTTTCACCTGATGATTTAAATTCAAATTTTATATCTACTTCCTCTTCCACTCCTTGATTAACCACTTCCTTCTTATCTCCTGGAACATTGTTCAACGACAACTATTATTTTTCAGACATTTTACCCAACTTGTCATATCTGCAGTGATCAAATCACATTATAATTTTATTAGTCCAGATGGCATTCCCACCAAATCAATCAACTTATCGGTGGATCGGCTAAATCCGAATGAATCAGCTGATTCCGAGGTAAATCAACCATTTGAATTGAGTGATTCACTTGGGAGTACAATTCTTTCAGAGGAATAAATTCTTGATTCACCTGCCCATTTCTATTTCCTACAGCTGAAATCTTCAGGACAATCAAAGAAAACAAATCCCCATGTTTATGACTTTAATATTTCTTCCCATAGAACTAAAACCTTCGAATGTTCCTTTCTAGCCCAGTCTGTTACCATATGGAATTCCTTGCCATCTAACATCTGCTATGCCTCTTTTCTGTTATCATTCAAACAATTCATTTTCAAATACTTAATTACATCCCAAACAGATGCCCTACAATAGTGAAATTACATTTTATGAGAGGAATTAATTTTGTTAGAAGTAAATACCAGTTCCAACTGTTTATGCTTTAACAAAAAAAAAATCAATGCTTTTTCTTTACTTATTTTTTCTTTTCCTCAGGTTTTACTTTTCCTATCTATTTTTTTTTTTTTTTTTACTACAATTATACTTAATCTAGAGAAAATTTTATTTTTAGTTGTTTACAGATTATCATATGTTGTCACAAAATATAAGTTTTTGCCATTTTCTTCAGCCATTCTTCTTCACACTTACTCCTGCGTGTAATGTAAAAACAATTACTAATAAATCGTGCCTAGAAAGTGTTTTAATCCATTTAGCTGAATCTTGGACACTTAAAGAGAATCAATCAAAAAGATTGCTAGCTCTAGAAATGGACCATTGGAGGCAATCATGCAGAGTATCTTGCCTTCAAAAAGTTCCAAATAGTGAAATTAGAAAACAAGTAGAACTAAGGGATAACATCCTCTACACCAGGGGTACTCAACCTTTTTTCATCAGTGAGTGTAATAAATTTAGTATAGTTTTCTTATATTAAATTAACACATTTTGAAATTAAAATTGAAAATTAATTAGAAGCGATATGGGTTATAACTAGTTATAAATTAAGTTAAATGCAGTGTTAACAACAGTTTTATTAATTTTTTTTTACTACCAAAGAAAAAGATTAATAAAAACAATAGTTATGATATTATATCGATAAATGAATTACTATTTTTAAATAATTACTATCTGTCATTCCTCAAAAGTGGAGAAAAAGCCAATTTTTGTGTTATAGGTTCAATTCAAACTGTTTCTTAGGATTTCATTTAAGAATATTCAAGTTGAATAATGAAAAAAAATCATTAAAATTTATTTAAATTGAAGTTTTGTTGCAAAAATTGTTATTTTCTCAACTTCTTAAAAATGAGATATGAGGCTTGATGAAAGCAAAAATGATATGAAACATCGATGTGAGGCCACTCATATATATAATAATTAATTTTGATTTTATATCTCTAAACTCTAGTTAGATTTTTAATTATTCATATATTTAAGAAAGGAATTGTAAAACTATTGAAGTAATAACTCATCTATTTGCAGCATGCCACTTAAAACAATTATGACGATTTTAAAAAAATACAAAATAAATTACTACTTTTAAAGTGATCATTCATACTTACAATTAATTATTAGATATTTATTAAAATAAATATTCAACATTTAATGGAAAACTTTTTGATCTACTACAGGCAACAGTAAAACTGTAGCCAAGGCAATAATAGCCGATAAGGGTTATGTTAGACAAAGTGGGCTAAAGTGATGTCACACGGGCACAATGGTGCCCATGAGCTCTAGATTACGAACCCCTCTTCTACACCATCAAAACAAGGATGCTGAAGTGGTATGGGCATGTGATGAGGATGGAAGAGGGATGATAGCCAAAACAATTTGAGTTTGGAAACCAGATAGAAAATGGAAAAATGGTCACCCAAGGAGAAACTTAAATTGCCTTGGTCACATAAGGAGAACTGGTATGAAATGATATAGGAAGAAATGATGGGTGAAGAAGACTGACAGGACAGAAGAAGATGGTAAAAACTTATGTTTGGTGAAGACATATGACTAATGTTGTAAAAGTCGTTAAATAAAAAACATATTATCATTGAAGCTACTGTATATATATTTAGATTTTTTGTTAATACATTTTTTCGCCAGATATGAGTTTTTTTTTTATTTTAATACACTTGAATTTTAAGAAACAAAGGTAGACCAATAGGTTCATTAGTTGCTGATATTAAATTTAATTTAATTGAAATATGATGGAAAAAATTAGAAGAGCTGGGACTCTTCAATTTCTTTGAACTAAGCTCCTTATCATTATTAAAATTCTGATTTCAAAATATAAAATTACCTGTTCTATCATATGTTGAACAAACTCAATAGATGCATTAAGAGAAGGGCAGAGAGCTTGAGCAGAATCGGGTACTTCCCTCAGATGACTGAAATGGTCATGTTTTAAAGCAAATTCAACATGTCCAAATGTTTGGATAAGAGGAATAACTTCTAAATCATTCTCTTTAGCAGCAAGTAAAATTTCATTGACTTCATTTTTAGTATATGCATTTGCTGCAGCTAGAACACTCAGAGAACCAGACCAAGGAAACATATCTTCCCATTCCAATAAAACTCCAGTAGCTCCAAGAGACTTTGAGAGATGAAAAATCTTTTTAATATAGGAAACTTTTGGTGGAGCCCCCTTCAAATCTAAATGCAATAATCTTGCTTTCGGTATATATGGAGTTTTAGAAAAAATATGAACTTCATTCATTCCATTATCATCAACCATACCCCTCTGTTTCATAATATCTTCACGAGAAGGGGTGTCATCTATAACTATATTGTTCAATGAAGAAACAGTGGCAAGTGAAGCACTTTTGATAAACTGTACAGAACTGCCACCTAAAAGACTCCTTTTGTCTTGCATATTAGTCACTCTAGCAATTTCACTATCATCTTGAGATTCTGAGATTTCACTTCCTGAATTATAATGGATACCGAATATAGCTAAAATTATTAACAATGCAACTATTAGAAGAGTAGTTTTTTTTCTCCAAACTGTTAATGTTAACCATCCAGCATAATGTGATGCAATCGTCATTCTGAAAAAATAAAAAATAAAAATTATATGATTCCATAAAATTATTAGATGAAAAGATTCTTAAATATTTACTTACATTTTTTTAAACAAAATACCAATTTGCATTCACATATATATTTTATCAGTTACATATGTTATTGAACTAGGCAGATCACTCTGTGAGAATAACAGACACAGAGTTCCAAAGATAATATGGAAAGAACTCCTGTAGAGCCCAAGAGTGGGACAGCCAAATAGACTTGGGCAGATGAGATGAAAACAAACATGAAAAGCTTTTTAAATATCAGTAATTGGAAACCGATTAATGAAACGTAAAATAACGGTGGAAGGTGCTAGATGATTCCAGGACTTGACAAACTTTACAGTACGTTCAAAAGAATATTTATGAACTTAATTTTGGTTAGTTCTAGGAAACCTTTTTAAGAGTGAATGTATTTTGTCAATATAAACCTATTATCAACATTTAATTAAGGAACAAAATTGTTGTCTGTTGATTGATTATTCATAACATTATTAAAGCTTCATTATGATTATGTGGACCTCCAATCACTTAAAAAATATATCCATTCCCTCAATGGAACCATTCATTTAAGTCCTTCATTGGCACATAGGTACAACATTTATGTAAATAAAATATAATTGAAAATTGACTGAAATATTCATTCAATTTGAAGTAAACATATTTCGTACATTATAAGTACTGCTTAGTCATCAAACCTGAGATGGTGTTAAATACTGATCAATAATGGTCAGTATTGGCAAAAGTTTAACATTTATATTCCTTGAAATATTCTTTAATGAACTCCAGCATTACCAATAGAAACTTAAATTGTATGACAATACTGTGAACTTTTCATGTAAAAATTTTGGTTTTAGAGGATCATATGATGTGATTAAATTAAAAGCTAATTATTTTTCTAGTGCCTATTTCTAGGTCTCTATAATTATTAATTAACAATATATTTTTGGCGCTTCCTACAAAATCCAATGTAGAATAACAGATTTAATTGAATGATACATATGAACAGTTTATAATGTATTTATTGTGCCATAAAATATTCTCAAATAAGTTGATAAAGCAGCCAAATAAACGGCAATGAATCATATCCAAACCATACAGGATTAACAGAGTCATTAAGAAAACTAAAGACAAAGAATACAAATAAATTAACAGCAGCTTATTGGATCAAAATCCAGTGAAAACAATAATTTTTGATGGAAGATGGATAGAATTACTTACTTAAAAAACAGAACAGTACTTTTTGTTTAAGGGGCTGTTTTGAAACCTCACTTCTTATCTATCTTATCTAACGTCATGTCATCATGTCACATGACCTCCCTCTTCTTATCCCGCCAAACTTTTGAGTTATTGCATTGTTTAGTTTTCAGTTATTCCCTTATTACGTTCACTTATTAAATTGTTTACTTTTGGCCCGTCTGTGTTTATTTTTAGTTTTTGGCCCGTTTGTGTTTATTTTACATTTTTTTTAGTTTGTTACCCCTTGGTGTTTATTTTTCATTTTTTTTTTCGTTTATTTTCGTCATATTATGGATCTTCTTAGAATATGGGATTTACCGTCTTCAAAAGAACAGGCAATTCAGTATTTTCAAAATGTTGGGGTACTTGCCGACGTGAAATTGTGTGAACGAGGTCATCGAATGTTATGTTTTATCGTCAAAATAATTGACAGAAAGGCAACAACATTATTACAAGCCATTAAAGAAAATATAGAAGAGGGAACGACCATTTATTCGGACTGTTGGAAAGGATACAACACCCGACAACTGAACGAAGCAAACTATGACCATTTCCAAGTGAATCACCGGTATAATTTTGTCGATCCATCAACTGGGATTCATACTCAACACTTAGAACGATTGTGGGGCTCAGCTAAGTGGAGAAATAAAGTACATAGAGGAACTGCCAGACAACACCTCGATTCATATTTGTGCGAATTTTTGTGGCGGCAGGTTCACAGAGAAGAGGACCCGTTCCTCGCTATTTTAAGTAGCATAAAACAATTTTGCCTTCCAAAATAAATAAGACAAAAGGAAGTGAATAATTAACTTAAAATAATTTGTATATACGTTGTTTATAGTGTTGATATTTTTTCTTTTCTATGTAAATATGTTCTTTTAATTTTTTTTTTTTTTAATTTCATTTTGATGTTTTATATGTACATATCTTCTCAAAGTGTTTTTTTATTATTTCATTAATATATTTGTCGTCAAATAAAAGTATTTTTGTTGTTATTACATTTGTTTTTGTATCTGTTTACACTTTCAATAATACGAATTTAATACAACAATACGAAGATGTGAAGTAGGAGAAGGCTTATCACTGTGTATAAGGTCTTATATAATATATATAGGTCTTGCTGCCAATGCCCATACTTATCACTGCGTTATGGGAGTTATCAGTGTTCAGGTTATAATCATTGGCAGATAGCAGTCAGTAGCGGCTGCTTAGACAAAAAGTACCAACAGAACTTAAATTTCCTATTTTTCTACCAAAAATCGGTCCATTGTTAATATAAATTTTTTTGTAGTTCTTGAGGTCTACTATCATCTCTTTAAATAGCCAATAAATAAAAAATAAATTCCTCCAATAAAAGAACACTAAGTAAAAATAAATAAAATAAAAATTAAATGATAAATAAATAAAGATTTATGTATTCTATCTCATTAACAATTAAAGCATATACAACAAAAATAGTAAGAAAATAAGTAAATGAAGTAACTTTTATACTAAGATTTATTCTGAATTCAAGGTATGTCCTTTCTCTGTTATTTGTGTCATATCTATGAGTTTATTTATATTCTATTTACATGGTTTGTACATAAAATAAATGTTAATAAGTTAATTTTTTTCTTTTTAATTTTGGTTTTGAGTGAATGCTGATTTTGGTACATGTGAATCTTTGTCTACTAAACAAATAAATGTAAGTTTTCTACATTTATATATATATATATATATATATATATATATATATATATATATATATATATATATATAATTAAATTAAAATGTAATAATAAAAATTAATAAATTTCAAAATATACTGAATTAAATTATCATTTTTCCATCCACCTAAAAACAATATATATATTTCATGTAATATAAAAGTATTTGAAACTCAAAATAAATGTAAGTGCAATAATAAAATTTATAACTGCACTATTTTCAATATGGAACTTTTTTAGGTAAGAAAAAAATTTGCAAATACCCAGAAATATATAATTCGAATCCCGTCGTAAATTCTTTTTTTTTTCTTGAAAAGCATTATTTAATTTGTAAAATAGTTTTCTATGCCAAAGCAGTCTCAGATTATTGCGTTGATTGAGAGCAGCCAAAGCCAGCGATACGCGACCTTTGTCCACGAACTGCCTGAAAAAACGGTTCGGCAGGCTGTCCAGAGGTACTAAGAAACAGGAAGCTACAGTAGGTGGCTATCCAAGACTAGGTCTAGCTGATGACTGCTCCATTGCTATGCAGACCCTCAGAAACCGCTTCCAAACTACAATTGAGACTTTTGAATGACTGTGTATTGCTCAGAATGCAGATATCAGTGTGTACAAAGAACGGATAAGGCTTGTTGAATTCAACCTACATGATAAGGTTCTCCCTTTCTACTCTCTACTCTCCGCAGCACATAGAGTAGCTTGCTCCACTTTTGTCGTGAAAACGGTGCATAAACAGAAGAGGTCTTGCTGCCAATGCCCATACTAACTCAAACCATTTGTAATCATTTGTGAGAAGTTGGTCTAACATCTTATACCTCTTTAAGATGACCTGAAGCAACAGCTTGTCACCGGCAACTCAGCATTTTATGGTGTTGCGAGCGCTTAGATGAGTAAATGAGGATACAAATTGGTATGCTGTTATGTTTACAGAAAAGTCACATTTCTGTATTTGTAGCGGTCATAGGCACTAAAGAGCCTTCTGAGAATAGTTTGTGCTTTCTTAAATGCAGTCTACAGCTGGAAGTGTGATGGATCTACTTAGTGGATGGGAGTGGATGGGATGGCATCTACTTAGGAGGACGGACTCTACTCCATATGGTAGAACATAATCTTATTGCAGTCCGTTATATTCAAGAAATTATAGAGGGGTATATTCCTCAAACCATGGCCAACCCAGACAAATTATTAAATTTTATAAAATTCTTACAATTCGCAATCATAAAAAGAAAATAACAAAAAACTTTTATTTTATTACTTTTTTTAAAACACCTTTTATAGTATTTTCTGAGGTCAAATACAATGTTATTTGTATTAATATTTAATGTATTTTATGATTAAAATTGTAGGGAAATAAATCATACATAACTAACAATATCCCTATTAATTTTTGTGCAGTATATATGTAAATGTACATATGTGTGTGTATATATATATATAATATATATATATATATATATATATATATATATATATATATATATATATATATATATATATATCAAATACATATTTATTATATAAACATCCTTATATAATCTTCCGTCTCTTTGAGAGACTGAGAGTGAGTTTTTAATTCTTTTGATGTATTTTCTTTAATTTGAAGGACTTCTTATCTTAGATTGATGGTCTGTTATAAAGAGACAATAATATATATATATATATATATATATATATATATATATATATATATATATATATGTGTGTGTGTGTGTATATATAACAACTGTTATCAATATATTGCCAATTTTCAGCAAATAAGTAGGAAATCCAAGTTTTGTATTTTTTTTAATAAATTGTGTTGTTTTTTTTTAATAGAAAATGATAACTAAAAAAACACTGAGCCCTTGGAAGATGAGGAGAAAGATGTCTTCTATAATACCATATAAAGAGGTGTTGATGACTGCCTTAGAGCAGTCAAGTCTTGTTAGGGGACTTCAATGCATAGATTGGCAAGGAGCAAATGCACACACTGACAATTGGAATACACAACACCTTGAACGATAACTGTCAAAAGCTAATCAATTTTTCTGTGTCCAA